CTTCCCTGCCGAGATCCTGACAGCGCCCCTGCCAAGGGGTCGCGCCCGCCTCGCAGAGCTCACAGCGACCACAATAGGTCAGCCAGCAGCGCAGGCCACTGGCCAGTGTCCACTGGGCTCAGTGCTGGAGCCCGAGAGCGTCGGGTTTCCCTGGAGACGACGCCACTCCCCGCCCACGTGCCCGCTACAGCTCTAGGCCTGGCCAATCCCGCGCGGACTTCTCCCAGACACGCCCCCGGGCGTTCAGGGTGGGGGCAAGGTGTGGCCCTCTGTGACCTCACAGAAACCCCAGCCCGGTGTACCTGCCCCCCTGCCCTCTGCCCCCACCCAGTGGGCACACACCCTCCCCTAGCGCCTCTGCACCTCCACAAGTGCTCCTGGCCTTCTGTCTGAGTCCTCCCCTCTCCCCCGTGGGATAGCAGGGAGCCGGCAGTGGGTCTCCACCCAACACTGACCTCCATGTCCAACACAGGACGCTGGGTCAGCCTCTGCCTTAGGACATACCCGGCAGCACAGCTGAGGGCTAAATTAACTTGTCTACCATCGCCGTATAGCCAGCACTTGATCAAGCTCTGCCTGACTCTGAAGCGGGGCTTCCTTTCCTTCAGTAAATGTTTGTGGGAGGCACAGAGGGAGAACTCAAGGTCTAGTGGAGGAACTAGATGAGGTAAAGGCCTGGGGTCACTGGGAGAGAAGGATTAGCTGTTGAGACTGACAAGTCAGAAGTTTCCAGAACACCTCTTTTTGGACTACATTTTAATATTTAGAATTGTTTGGCCAATCTCACCAAAAAGTCAGATTTGCCACAAATAGGTGTGTGTGTGTGTGTGGTTTTTTTTTAATTTTAATTTCTTTATTGATTAAGGTATCACATATTTGTCCTCAATCCCCCATTCCAATCCCCCACCCCATCCCCACTCATGCCCCCACCTCCTATTTTCCCTGACCACTGGTTAGGCTCATATGTGTGCACATAAGTCCTTTGATCTTTCCCTTTTATCTCACCCTCCCTTTGAGGTCTGACCCATGGCTCCTTATCTCTGGGTCTGTTCTTGTTTATCAGTCTATGTTGTTCACCATTTCCCCCAGATGAGTGAGATCATGTCCTACTGGAAATATACTTATAAGAATAAAAAATGAGACAAACAATAATCGTTATGCTGAAAGGCATATGAATCAGTCTGTAGAGAGTTTCTTTCTGGGCAACCAGTTCTTTTGAGACCCAATTTCAATGTCAAACAGTTCCTATGTCAGCAATGATATTTCAGATCCGGATGGTGGACAAATCGTGGTAATGCAGGTCTGACCCTCTCTGGTTTGGTCCTGGGCCACCTTCAGCGACATGCAGCTGCTGTCTGCTATTATGGCAAGGTGTCCTCAGCGTCTACCATCTCTGGACTGCTTCTCTTATGTCTTCATAGTTGGAGTAGTCCTGTCAATTCCTCTCTGTTGCCAGAATCCACATGGTCTTGGAGTTGTTTTCTGAAAATATACAAACATATTCTCAACCAAAAGTTAATAAATTTTGGCTTGGGATCCTTTTTCGTTTTTGCCCAAATGATTTTCCTCTGGCTTGTTTTGACACCATGTGTGTTTTTCATGGGTGTATTGCTGATAGCATTAAAATTAATTTTCTAAAGTACAAATTTTCTAGATATAATTTACTTTCAGGATATTTTTCCTTACATGATATTCTTCTACGTTCCCCCTTTTTTTGATTTAAATATTAGGAGACTTTTGAAAATTATCAATATATAATGTAGTCTTGATAGCTTTTAAATTTTAATTTTTTGCACTATAATATGACTGCTTTAGGTTCATTTCCTGTTGTGAGATTTTATCCTATGATGAACTACCAATAAAAATTTTAGTTAACACTTTAGGAACAGCTTTTTGTCCAGTGCAATTAGTTTTTCTAGGATATTCACTTATTTCAAATTAGCCAATTTAAATTAGCCTGAAAACTTGTCTACTATTTTACTGTCAAATTTATTACTCCAACACAACCTTATTTTACCGTGAAAATATTAGGGGATAGGATTATTTGCCTTCTTAAGTAGGCCCTGAGCATTCCTGGTGGTAGGCTGGATTTAGATATCAAAACCCCTCTTCCCGACACCATGTTTTTTTAATTACTGCCTAGTCTTTTGTATTGGGCAATGTATTAGTTTCCTAAAACTCCCCTAACAAAGAATTACAAACTGGGTGGCTTAAACCAACCTAAGTTATTCTTTCCTCGGTGTTTGGCCTTGGAACAGAAAACCCACCTCATCCTCCAACAATAAAGGGTGATTTGCTAGCTCAGAAAACCAAACAGCCCCAATAGGAAGGTCTTCAGGTTTGGTTTGGTTCAGTGGCCCAGCAATGTCAAGATCTGGTTTCTCCTAGCAGAGCTTTCACCCAAGACTGCCTTCCCCTGTGGTGTTAAGGATAAAATGGAGATCTCCATGCTCATCTCCTCCTTGGTTCTTGAGAGCTCAAGCCCTTTTTTTTTTTTTTTTTTTTTAATATATTTTATTAATTTTTTACAGAGAGGAAGGGAGAGAGATAGAGAGCTAGAAACAGACCAGCTGCCTCCTGCACACCCCCTACCGGGGATGTGCCTGCAACCATGACCGGAATCGAACCTGGGACCTTTCAGTCCGCAGACCGACGCTCTATCACTGAGCCAAACCGGTTTCGGCGACAGCTCAAGCCCTTTGATGAAGCAATAACGAGGTAACAGCTTTATTGATTGGCTAGAGGTAACCAGCACCCACTTCCAGAACTGGGGGACAGAAAATCTATTTAGTTGGCTCCCATGAACTTGGAAAAATGGAAATTTCATTGCTTCTCCATCCCAAGAAAGCCCATCTGTCTTTAGGGCAGAAAAAGAAAATGGATTCTGGGAGGGCTTTTGTGGGAGATATCCGGACCTGCAGCCAATGAAGACATGGCTGCAAAGTGGTTTCTAAGTCTTTAGCTCAGAAAGGAGCTGGCCCAGGTTGTAACAAAAGATCTGACCGTTGCCAGTGCTTGGAGGCTGTAGCTGAACTAAGAAAATCAAGATCACACAGAGATTATACACAGGTTCATTTAGTCGGATTTATCCAGTACTAGGTGTGGGGGAGGGGTTGGTACTGGAGAATATTCTCTGGTAAAATGGATTGCAAATCTTTGGCAAACAATGGAGATGAATCAGAAAATTTTACTGTCATTAGAATAAAATTGCAATTGCAATTAAATAAATATATGCAAGACTGCAGTTACTTTTCGCTAAAACTATTCCCTGAAAGGAACCGGTCATCAGGAAAATCTATTGAATAGGTATTCTTTTTATTTTATTTTTTTTATATATTTCTATTGATTTCAGAGAAGGGAGAGGGAAAGAAACAGCAATGATGAGAGAGAATCAGTGATGGGCCACTTCCTACACTGCCCACACTGGGGATCAAGCCTGCAACCTGGGCATATGCTCTGACTGGGAATCCAACTGTGATGACTTCCTGGTTCATAGATTGATGCTCAACCACTGAGCCAGCTTGCTGGGCTTGAAGAGGTGTTCTTAAAAGATGAAACAGAGAGGGAGCCGGAGACCTGGATGCCAGGACACAGGCTTTATTGAAGAAAAGAGTACCACTGCCTGCTGCTTCCAGAGAGAGGAGCGGAAGAGACCGAGAGCCGGGATACAAGCGCCTTTAAGGGGAGGAAAGGGAGGGGACGGGGCTTAGGGCACTCAGCACACGCTGATTGGTGGTTTCATGTAAGACCTATGATTAGGGACCTAGGGAATTTAGGAATGGGGGGGAGGGGCTTAGGGTATTTGGCAGATGCTGATTGGTGGTTCAATGCTCAAGAATGTCAGGCTGCATGTGGAGTTTATATCTGTCCATCAACTGGAGGAAGGGAGGATCTATCAGTTCTTAATGACTCTTACTGAAGAGGCAACTGTGTGAACATTAAATGTTAACTTTTTGAAGTTAACAGGGATGTCTCAAAAGTTAATAACTTAGAAAAATAACAAAAATAATAGTTTTTAAAAAAATGAAGTTAATGGTAAATAGCTTTATATAAACTATAAACTATGTTTCACAATAAAAGGGAAATAGTCCTAACCAGTTTGGCTCAGTAGATAGAGTGTTGGCCTGCAGACTGAAGGGTCCCGGGTTTGATTCTGGTCAAGGGCACATGCCCAGGTTGTGGGCTCTAATCCCAGTGGGGGCCGTGCAGGAGGCAGATCAATGATTCGCTCATCATTGATATTTCTATCTCTTTCTTCCTCCCTGAAATCAATAAAAAAATATATTTAAAAAAACAAAAGGGACATAAAATGCAGACATTACAAAGGACAATTTGTTAAGAAGCAGATAACAGAAGGAATAAGCATAAAGCTATACTAAAGGGCACCTCAGCCCTCAATACAGTTGTAGGAAGTAGTTATTAAGAATACGTGATAAAAAGAAAATTACACGAAACCAGGCGGTTTACCAAGATGACGATATTGAGGACACTGGTCAGGTGCAGATGAGGATCTGTGACGGGGCCCCCCTGCTCCTCCTTATGACAGCCACATAAAAGATGAGATGCATGCGGAAACCGGTTTAGCTCAGTGGATAGAGCGTCCGTCTACAGACTGAAAGGTCTCCAGTTTGATTCCGGTCAAGGGCATGTACATTGGTTGCAGGCACATCCCCAGGAGGCAGCTGGTCGATTTTTCTCTCTCATCGATGTTTCTAGCTCTCTATCCCTCTCCTTTCCTCTTTGTAAAAAATCAAAAAATATATATTTAAAAAAAGAAAAAAGATGAGATGCCCCCTCCCGGAGCCCCGCTGCAGCCCACCTGGCCCTCGCGCAAGGTCACGCTCCGGTGCGGCTAAGCTCTCGGGTGGCCGGGACCTTCATTCCGTTCCAGAAAACCAGCCTCTCCAGTCTGCTGGTAAGCTCCGCCCACACATAGCATTCATAGCCAATCAGAGGAGGCGCTCCGCAGGGACTGACCAATGAGGAGGTGGCCAGCGGCTTGTGGGCGGGACCCGCTCGTGCACTGCGGAGATGCTGACCGGGGGCCCCGGGCGGCCCTGGGGCACCTTTAGGACCCTGGCCAGCCTCCACAGGTCCCAAAATAGACCCCAGGCCAGATGCCTGAGCGCGTCATGGACACCGGGCGAGCCGAACGCCTCGGGGTCGCCCTGGCCACACAGCCGCCCTTCGCGCACGTCGCCCCCTCGCTCTTCCTCGGGAACGCACGCACTGCAGCCGCGTCGGAGCTGCTGGCGTGCGCGGGCGTCACCCTATGCGTTAACGTCTCGCGCCAGCAGCCCGGGCCGCGCGCGCCCGGCATGGCCGAGCTGCGCGTGCCCGTGTTCGACGACCCGGCCGAGGACCTGCTGGCACACCTGGAGCCCACCTGCGCCGCCATGGAGGCCGCAGTGCGCGCCGGCGGCGCCTGCCTCGTCTACTGCAAGAACGGCCGCAGCCGCTCGGCCGCCGTCTGCACCGCGTACCTCATGCGGCACCGTGGCCTTAGCCTGGAGCAGGCCTTCCAGGTAGGGCGGTCCCTCTGGTGGGGTCGGGCGGAGCGGCGGGTGGGAGCCTTCTCAGAGGGGCGGGGCACTCCCCTGGTAGTGGGCAGTTGAGGACTTTACAGCGAGTGCTGTGTGGGGTTTTACCTAATCCCCTTCCTTTGCAGACAGTGAAGAGCGCCCGCCCCGTGGCCGAGCCCAACCCTGGCTTCTGGTCTCAGCTCCAGAAGTACGAGGAGGGCCTGCAGTCCAGGTCCTGCCTGACCCCGGAGCCCTCCACACAGTGAGCCCTGATTGGTCAGTCCAATCCCCAAACCAGACTGGGAGTTTCCTGGGATGATGTAATCCTAGCTTGTCAAACTCAGGGCTACGGGCCTCATGCAGCCCACAACTAATGTTTTTGCAGCCCATCCAATGTAACAGTATGTAAGAAACATTTTAATAAATATTTTGTAACAATGTTTACAATATCCTGTTATACATAATCCTATACAATAAAAGGCTGATAAGGAATGATCTGTCGCCATGATGTGCACTGACCACCAGGGGGCAGATGCTCAACACAGGCTCATGGCTGGCGCAGTGGGGGCCTCTCTTGCTTCCACAGTGGAGCTAAGGATGTCTGACTGCTGGCTTAGGCCCACCTTCCCCAGGGAGAGATATCCCCTAGGGCTCCTGGACTGTGAGAGGGCTCAGACTGGGCTGAGGGATGCCCCCCTCTCTCATGCATGAATTTCATGCACCGGGCCTATAGTTATTAATAACAAACTACAACATTCACTAATGACTGATTACTATAATTGTATTGCATTAATTTCCCTTATGCATCTTACTCACAGGCGCACCATTTCTTTCCACTAATACTAGCAGAGAATATTTTAGCAGCCGATTGCCACATCATTAATCTTGGACTGACTTGTTTGGTATACATAACAGGAAATATTTTGCTTTCAGAGAATAAGAAAAAGAAGGTTATTTGCATTACGCTTATTAATTTATGCAGTTATTCAATGTCTGGTAAGTTAATATTCAAGAAAAAACATTAATTTTTATTTAAAATGTTCAATTATTTTGTTAATGATTACTCATTTATTTTAGCCCTTTGTATTCAGCATGTCTCTATCAAAATAAAGCTATGTTTCTATGAAAATTGAAGCTTTTGTTTTTTCTACTGCCCACGTAAATTTAAACCTTGTTTATTTGGCCCGTGTTAGCCTTTGAGTTTGGCATGCTTGGTGTAATCCATTCACAATCCCAGTTTGTTAGACTGTCAGGAAGATCAAAACTATTTGAACTTTAGGCAGAAAGACATAATAGAGAAATCAAGGCCAGGAACCAAGGTCAGGAGACGCGGAAGTTCAGGGATCACAGAGACCTGCTACCCTGATGTTGGCTGCTAGCCACTGTGACTTGGACAACTCTGGAGGACACCCGGGGCTGCTGGCAAACTCATGTATGCAACATGCTCAAACCATAGTGGCTTTTTCCCAGACTCACACTGATCCCTTCTCTTATCTCAGAACCCAACACTGGATCAGGCCAGCAAGGGCCCATGGTGTCCAGACTTGTAGTTGCCATTGGCATGCAGGCAAGGCTGTGACAAACTACCCAGCACACCCACTTCTTACCATGCCTCCCAGTTTCAGCAATAGCATTGAGCCTAGTCTGACCTCCTGCAGCCACCTTCACACCAACAATGCACTGGCCACATGCACATCTGAGTCTGTGCATTCCTCTTCTGGTTAACATACACCTCATATGAACAATCTGTGGCCTAAAGATATTAGGAAATTTATCACCAGCAATACTTCTTAAATAAGATAGTAGGGGAAAGAAAAAATTGGGTAATATGTGTTGTCAAGTGATCATCGGTGCCAATTCAATGCCAACAGGAACCCCCAATTTGGGTTGTGGTGCAGAAACTATTCAAAACAGCTCAATTGCAACGCAGTATAGTTGTTTTAAAACAGCAGGGCAGTTGGCAGCCCTGGCACCAGGCCCTTCTCTAGTTAGACAACTGTGCTTTGCTTGGCTCTGCTCCACTTGACTCCTCTCCTCAATGTTCTGCTCTGCTCCATGCTGGTTTGTTTTGCACTGTGCTAGGTTGCTCTGATGTGCTCCAGCAAGACACCTTCATTGTTTCAGCCTAGCAAGGAAAACAGTCTTCAGTCATAGGTGGAAAGGGAAAGTGAAAGTGTACTCAGAGCCAAAGGACAGCTGGCTTATATGCACAGAAGGCCATGCCCCTGGTCCCTGAGTAGTCTGACCCCATACAACGAGAACCGCAAATTCTCACAATTTGATTGGTCCAAAGGACACTTTCCTAATTGTTCAGAATGGTTGATTGCTCTGATTGGTTGGTGAAGATGTTGATGGGATATAGCTGGACAACTCTCATTGAACTGGGAAAGCCTCAGTCCTATTGGTTGATATAGGATTCCAGAAATCTATAATAATAAAAGCATAATAGGTAAATCAGCTGAACGGCCGAACAGGGTAATGATTGTCCGGACGACCTTCTGGAGGAAGCTAAGGCTTCGAGGGCCAAGGCAGCCAGGACTGCGAAGCACTACTCTTTTATGACTTTCATGCATAAGGCTCAGATAGCGGGAACACAGTGGAGGCAGGCAGTTCAATGCAGGCCTCTCCCTGAAATGCAGTTTGCTTGAGAGGCGTCTGTGTAGAAATGACTGCTAGCCTCTTTTTCTTAAAATCTGAGCCCAGTTAGTCACTAGGAGCCCTTCTTAGTAGATGTCTTCTTTCTCAGGTTTATAATGTGAGTTTCAGGTTAATATGTAGAAATATATACATAAAATAATAAATAAACTAACTGTAGTTAGTGTGAGTTCCCTTTCCCACTACACATTTTGTATCCCCTCCACCTTCAGCTAACTCTTTGCTAGTGGTGGTCTTTCCTGGTGGGATGACAAGGCTTCATCCTACAGGGGCCCCAAGTGGCCCTGCCTGTATTTTCCCATACAATCGGGGAATCCCATACAAGCTCCATCATGCCCCTCGGATCTCCACTGAGCAACAGCAAAACCCCACTGCCCCTAAAGTCATGATCAGTCACTCCACCCGGCAGAGCACCCCTGATTTGCATGATGCCTCAGTGTGAGGCAAACATCCAGGGGAACAGGGTCTGTCCTTGAGTGTAAGCATCCTACCTGGAAATGAAGACCTCTGACCCAGCAGAGCCCAGAGTTGTGGGAACAGGAAGCTCACACTGTTAGGCGTGAGTGGTTGTGAAAGGGGCCTCCCTCTCCCCAATACTTTTGCTCCTGAACTGTGACAGGAACAATGCCATCCATTGGTCCCTGACTCAGATCATACACCGCCACATCCAGCCCCACTCAGTAGCCCCCATCGCTGACAGCCGCAGCCCCAGTCATAACCTGACTCCTACAACCTTAATAGACTTGCCAGCTCTCATTTACTCTCCCCAAACTCACCATTTCATCAACCCCATGGGGGTCTCCTGCCACCTTCTCCATTTGGCAAGTGCTCTAGTGGCTCTATCTGCAACTTTGGGAGTTGAGCAATTTGTCCAGCTTGAAGGTCAGGAGCAAAGACCTGAGACCAGGTTGTTACCCTGTGTGATGCAGCCGAACCCTGCCCCTGGCACTTTTGATAGTATATCGCCCTAACCTGACGACCTGGCTCTAGGTGACAAGGGTGCAATGGTGACAGAGTTCAGGCCTGGTTGTAGGACATCTGTGGGTCACATCAGCTTTTTTAATCCCATCAACTTTGTTCTGAGAATCATCCAATGTGGCTCCCACCAGGGACCCAATTATCCCTAAGACCTCTGTCCAAGGGACAACACAGCCCCTCCTGAATGCCACTTCTCCTGATAGCCCTTGCCTCCTCATCTATCGATACCTCCTCGTAGGGGAGGTCAGGGACCCACTCTCCTCCCTGGACCCGGGCACTTGAAAGGGAGTGCATGGATCACATACATTAAGGGAGGGCTAGGTTGTAGGTGGAATGTGGGGTGCTTCAGTCCAACCCCACCAGCCTGATTTGATCCCCAAAAGGCTGGAGTATGAAAATTCCTGTGAATCCCCAGCCTCTGGCATTCCAGACTTCCACGTTCCTCTCGCCTGGTAGGTCAGGAAGAGGGAGGGAACTGCAGCCACCCCAGACCTTCATCAACAGGACAAGGACAGGGTAGAGACAACTACTTGAGCTTCACGATTCATAAGGTGCCTTGATAGCCAGGCACTAATTCTTAAAAATTTGCTCCAAGACTGGTTTGTGTTGCTCCCTTATATAAATGTGGGGTGGAAGGAACCCCACCCCGGGGGCAAAGGAGGGATCAGCTCCTCTGGACCAGCAAGGCTGCCACCACTCCACCCCTCCTATGTGCCCAGGGCCCTCCAGGAGAGAAGGGATAAGACCCAGCTCCTACCCCTAAGTCTAGGGAACCAGGAGGGCAAGAAGTCCCTGATGTTTACTTACCCTAAAGGCCAGGTGACTTACATACCTGCCTGAGGGTAATTGGGGCATGTAGTGCAGGTGCCCTTGTGCAGTTCTATTGATCTAGCCCCAGCCTCACTGGCCTGAGTGTGGAGCTCAGAGAAGCTGGTCAACTGGAGTGCCACCTAAAACACTGCCCTCATGCCGTGGGACCACTGCCACCTAGATGGGTGTTGGACCACTGAAGACAGCAAGGACTGATCAACCCCAGTCCTCTCCTTATTGAGTCTTTGGTTCAGGACCGACCCCCTTCTCCAGATGACTGCAGGAACACTGGGCTCCCAGTGAGTTTGGTGGCGGCCCCAAGAGAGAGGCTGTGACCCCAAGATAAGATGGCACATGCCTCATGCACGTGCTCTGTATCAGTGAACACACATCTTCCCTTTCAGCTGTCGTTCCCACCCCTGGGGGAGGAGGGCAGGCAGGATGGCATGGTTACCAGTGGGAACACTGAGTCCAGAAGGATTCAACACTACTCAGAGATGACAATTAAGTCAAGCGCAGTATCTTAGTCTAGCCTCACACCTTGCCACATGGCCACTGAGCTGGGAAAATGAGGTGTGTGGGGTTCCTGGATGTTCTCCAGGCCAAAAAGCCCCTCCCCCAAGACCCAGCGTTCCTATGCAACGCTGACAGCAACATCTTGGTGGTCGCTCTCATTCCATGGCTTCGAGGTACATGTGATGCCCTCTCATTGGGCGTCCTGCCTAGTCTGCAGCTGTCCCCTCTGGGCCCAGGACTGGACCCAGAGATCCAGTGAGGTGAGAGCAGGCAGGCCAGTTCTGGTTACTGCCCCAGCACCCACCCCCTAAACAATCCGGCCCACAGGGCTCTGCAGGCTGTTAGGCAGCACTGTCCAACATAACTTTCTTCCATGATGGAATACCCTCTCTGTCCAGCGTGGTTGCCACTTTCCACACATGCACTCCAAACACAGGGAGACCTGGGAACAGCTGGCACAACTGAGGAGCTGAACCT